ATAATCACAGTAAAAGTAAAGAAAGAAGCCGCGAATAAACGGCTCTTTTAACCTAGTAAAAAAATATGACTGACTTCGCTACTACTCCCCAAACTATTCTGATGTGAGCCAACCCAGACCCTAAATATCCCAATAGTTTTATTATCAAAACCGATAATCAGAAATTATTAGGTCTAGTTCGCACCGATAAAAAAGGCCAAACTTACTGAAAGTTTAGGGAGCGAGCAAAGAAGTCAGAAGTAGTTCAACCCAACAAAAATAACCTTGGACCCAACCCCGTAGTGGATAAAATACAGAAATTTCAGAATCGGCAAGCCCAATCTGAACAATTAAACCCGCATGGAAATAATTCTAACTCGCTTCAAGAATAACCAAATGGTAAGCACCACCGACTTAACTAAAACCGCGGAAGATTTAGGTAGTAGTTTAACCGCTCTTGCTCCCACTAATTCCGAAACTACTAAATTAATTACTTATGTTTTGGTGGCCACGGCTATCACGGGCATTTTTGTTTATCATTACATAAAATCACAAGAGAATTTAGAATAATATGAACGCTTGAAAAGACTATTTACCAGATTTTAAAGGCACTTTAAACAACTTTTACGATGAAAAACTAAAAGACACCATTGAAAACAAAAGCACCGAGTATAAAGACTTAGCCAGTGAATTTATTGCTAAAAGTTTAAATTACCAAAAAGCTCTGTTAGCCATTGGAGTGGCTATTTTTCTGTTATTGGCTATTGCCTACTTCTGAAAAGATGAAAGTTAGAATAACTTCTAGGTTATTTTACAAAGTAAAATGAGATGAAAACGAAAGGAATTAACAATTGCCAATTCTTCTGAATAGCAGATATTACCTGCTCCCAGGAGAAGATTGGCGAACCAAACTATAAAAACAAAAAGAAATAATATGACAATTAACTATAAATACATTGCCTTAGGTATCTTAGTCGGATATCTTTTGCCTTACATCATCGAATTAACTCAGCAAAAAAAAGCCGAAACTAATGAGTTTTTTACTACTAACGAATAATTATGTCCAAAACTAGCACTTTTATCTGATTCTCCATTTGTCTGGTAGTCGGTTTTTACATTCGCCACTGAATAAATACCGGCGAAGGACAATTTCGCAGATTTAAAAAATACTTTTAAAATATAAAAGTTAGAATTTGTAATTTTACTCTTCTGTATTGATTTTAATTACGCAGAAATAAAACAATATGAAACCAACCACTATTTTACTCTGTTCTGCTTTGGCTATCTTCTGTGGAATATTAGCCCAGCAATCAGTCGAAACTCTCATTAATACCTCCTTGACTTTATTACCCTTTAATATTCGCACGGTTTCTTAAAGAAGTAGATGACAAAAAAAATAACTGAGTGTGAAGTTTCCTGAATAACTGAGATTACTTGTTCCGAAAAGGATATTGGTCCAAGTCCAATTATAAAAAAAACAGACTTGTCTCTTCTGTCAAAAAAAAAGTTATTTTGGTCAGGAATGACAAGGTTCTTTTATCTGCTGAGTGTGCCAATTGACCCAAATGCCTCGTCAATAGCCTAGTATGAGAAAACTATTTAAAAAAATATGCTCAATAACTCCCTAATAACTAATAATACCCCCTTATTCCAATACCCCCAGCAAAATTATACCTGTGATAACTGCAATAAAGAATTCCAACAGAGTAATCTTTATTCAACAGCCAAAGATAAACAAGAATTAGCCCAACAACCAACTTATTGCCCGAATTGTATTGAACCAACCCTCATAGTTCCAGTGCCAACCAATCAAAAAAAAACTAAGTCTAAGCCGAAAAAAAACACGGTCGCTTATTATCAGTGTATGTCGGCTTGTTGCCAACAAGGAATTAGTCCGAAAAAAATAAGTCAAGTGGCTCAGGAATGTAAGCATAATAGTCTGACTATCTTGGCCGAAAGAACCCAAGAAATTCAAAAACTAAATCAGGCTTACCAGCAAATTGGAGTGAGTTTAACGGCTTTATTACAACCGGTTAAGGAAGAATAATGGACTGCACTACCCAAATTCAAGCCTGATATCGCCTCTGTTTGGCCATTCTCGGAGCCTTTACCCTCTTATTTATTATGCACTTAGGTTATAGTTTAATTCTCGATAAACGAACTGCTAAATTGGAAAAGAAAAATGGCAAGGAATTGGCAGAGATTGAGAAGTTGAAGAAAGAGATGGCAAGATTAGCCAAATTAACCCTCAAAAAACGGGGAGATAAAAACTAGATTTCTAATTTGTATTTTTTTCTTTATTCATATATACCGGTTCCTAGTTCCCCTTCTCCCCTATAAATTATGACTAAACAAGAATTTCAAAAAGAACTCCAAGAAAAAGTCAAGGAAGGAGTTAAACCGAGTGATATTAT